CTGTTGATGGTATAGTCGGAGGCCTATTTCTAGGGCCTGAATGAGAGCCGGAAGAATGGCATGGCATGGCAGGCTGCGAGAGAGTGAGCATACATGTTGTGGGCTGTTGGGCCAAATATATGTGGTGTAGCCAATTTTGGTTTTCCCCGTAACTTTGCCTAATGGGTGCATATAGGTTTTGTTTTGTTTTTGAAAAGTTTTTCTTTTCTTTAATTATATTATTATATTAGTGTTCACTGTAAATATTGGGCACTGTGGCCTGCTGAATAAAGAAAATGATTTTTGGGCCCTAGTTTCTCCTGGTCTGTAACCCTTCTTGCTGCCTCGCCGCTGTTCATCCTAACAGTCGTGTTTCTGCTGACCTGTGCAGGACAAATACTGGACTATTAAAATGAAAAATAACCATAGGAGGAAAGTTCAGGTCCAGAAAGTACAAATGCAGACCAAAGTTTTGTTTCAACCAACCAGTTGAGTACTCCAACTGTGACTCTTTGGTGAGGTGGACACAAGAAAAACCATTTTGTTTGTTGGTCACAGCAGTGGGGTGACAAAAAAAAATGCAGCGATTGGCGACACATTGAAGATCCTGTTAATGCAGTGAGTGCAGCAAACAGGACAGTACATGAGATTAAAAAATGGTCCAATCTGAATGTGATTGCAAAAAAAAAAAATTGCACCCCGTCGTCAGAGTGTATGTCACTGGTGGGGGTTAGGGCATACCCAAGCTGTCACCTTTGGAAACACGCATGGCAGCAATACTTGGGGAAATGAGTGAGTGTGGTGTAGCGTCGGAGACGACAGAAAGTAAATCTCTATTTTCCTTTTTATCACATTTTGGAGGAATGCTTCTCTTTGCTGAGCCCATATTGTTCTTCTTAGCTTGATGGTCACAGCGCAGGATCAGCAAACACGCAGCACCCCTGGAGCTGGGGGTTAAGGGCCATGCTGAAGGGCCCATGGACGTGTAACTGTTCTGCTGAGGTCAGGCCTTGAACCGGCCATCTTCTGATCACAGGCAGAAGAAACTCACCACCTCTCTCACCACAAGATGAGGCATAACATGACTAGATGAGGGACAGGTGAGAACAACAAAGAACAGGAGGGGGCAATCAATAGATGGACACAGAAAATGTCCAAAGACAAAGGGAAACGAAAACGATAAAAACTGAACAAACGAGGACCAGAGCGCAAAAAACAAGGAACTGAAATTGAAATGCAAAAACGCATTTTAATGCTGCAACTTGCTGAAGTGATTAATAAAACCCTGGGTGTGTTTGTAACATGAGAAAGCAGATCAGTTTTAATTAAATTAAAGCGGGTAGTTTTGCAGACTGCTAGAGGCCTCAGGGAAGTCATATTATGGCTACAACAACGTATTTGTTCACTAGAGGGATGGATGAATGTGTAAGAAAGATCAACTTCCTGCCTTTCTCTGTGGACTAGGTGATCTTTTTGCTGACACATTATCACCATCATGTGCTCAGATTAATATTTTTAATAAATATTTACTTGTTCCAGACTTTAAGTACTTCTTTTTAACAAACAAAAGGCAATCACAACAAACTTACCTCGAACATTAAGCCTAATTTCCGTCTGGTGCGGTCCGCTTGGGAACACCGTGAAGATACAGGTATACACCCCCTCATCTTGCAGCGATACGTCCAAAAGCTGAATAGATCCAGTTTTCTTGGTTAAGTTTCCAATAAACTGGGCCCGATGCCCT